ACCTCGAAAACCCATAAGTGGCGAGTAATTAGCATTGCAAAAGTAATTAAAATATTCTAAAAATCATTTGAACATTTCTAAAAGCCATTTGAACAAGTTATAATCAAGATATCAAATTTTAGTTAACAGATCCTTAAGCAGCACATTCAGGAGTACCTATACTGAAATTTTGAACAAAATCCATTTGTGGACGAAATGCCAAAAATTGTAAGGCTTACCCCTTACAGAATTTTTGGCCAAAATACTTTTTCTCTCTGAACTAAAATTTAATGTGCCTAACTATTTAAGTACATCCAGAATAATACACAAGCGCAAAGATATGACCTCAAAACCCATAAGTGGCGAGTAATTAGTACAAAAGTAATTAAAATATTCTAAAAAATAATTTGAACTTATTTTATAAAAGCCATTTGAACAAGTTATAATCAAGATATCAAATTTTTGGTTAACAGATCCTGAAGCAGCACATTCAGGAGTACCTATACTGAAATTTTGAACAAAATCCATTTTTTGGCCGAAATGACAAAAATTGTAAGTCTAAAGCCTTAAAGGATTTTTGGCCAAAAATACTTTTTCTCTCTGAGCTAAAATTTAATGTGCCTAACTATTTAAGTACATCCAGAATAATACACAAGCACCAAGAAATGACCTCGAAAACCCATAAGTGGTGAGTAATTAGCATTGCAAAAGTAATTAAAATATTCTAAAAATCATTTGAACATTTTCTAAAAGCCATTTGAACAAGTTATAATCAAGATATCAAATTTTGGTTAACAGATCCTTAAGCAGCACATTCAGGAGTACCTATACTGAAATTTTGAACAAAATCCATTTTTGGCCGAAATGACGAAAATTGTAAGTCTAAAGCCTTAAAGGATTTTTGGCCAAAAATACGTTTCTCTCTGAACTAAAATTGCCTAACTATTTAGAGTACACTCAGAATAATACACAAGCACCAAGAAATGACCTCGAAAGCCCATAAGTGGCCGAGTAATTACCATTGCAAAAGTAATTAAAATATTCTAAAAATCATTTGAACATTTTTCTAAAAGCCATTTGAACAAGTTATTTTCCAAGATATCAAATTTTGGTTAACAGATCCTTAAGCAGCACATTCAGGAGTACCTATACTGAAATTTTGAACAAAATCCATTTTTTGGCCGAAAATGACAAAAATTGTAAGTCTAAAGCCTTAAGGATTTTTGGCCAAAAATACTTTTTCTCTCTGAACTAAAATTTAATGTGCCTAACTATGTAAGTACATCCAGAATAATACACAAGCACCAAGAAATGACCTCGAAAACCCATAAGTGGTGAGTAATTAGCATTGCAAAAGTAATTAAAATATTCTAAAAATAATTTGAACATTTTCTAAAAGCCATTTGAACAAGTTATAATCAAGATATCAAATTTTGGTTAACAGATCCTTAAGCAGCACATTCAAGAGTACCTATACTGAAATTTTGAACAAAATCCATTTGTGGACGAAATGCCAAAAATTGTAAGGTTTACCCCTTACAGAATTTTTGGCCAAAAATACTTTTTCTCTCTGAACTAAAATTTAATGTGCCCAACTATTTAAGTACATCCAGAATAATGCACAAGCACCAAGAAATGACCTCGAAAACCCATAAGTGGCGAGTAATTAGCATTACAAAAGTAATTAAAATATTCTAAAATCATTTGAACATTTTCTAAAAGCCATTTGAACAAGTTATAATCAAGATATCAAATTTTGGTTAACAGATCCTTAAGCAGCACATTCAGGAGTACCTATACTGAAATTTTGAACAAAATCCATTTTTTGGCCGAAATGACGAAAATTGTAAGTCTATAGCCTTAAAGGATTTTTGGCCAAAAATACGTTTTTCTCTCTGGTAATTTAATGTACCTAACTATTTAAGTACATCAGAATAATACACAAGCACCAAGAAATGACCTCGAAAACCCATAAGTGGCGAGTAATTAGCATTGCAAAAGTAATTAAAATATTCTAAAATCATTTGAACATTTTCTAAAAGCCATTTTAGACAAGTTATTTTCAAGATATCAAATTTTGGTTAACAGATCGTAAGCAGCACATTCAGGAGTACCTATACTGAAATTTTGAACAAAATCCATTTTTTGGCCGAAATGACAAAAATTGTAAGTCTAAAGCCTTAAAGGATTTTTGGCCAAAAATACTTTTTCTCTCTGAACTAAAATTTATTGTGCCTAACTATTTAAGTACATCCAGAATAATACACAAGCACCAAGATATGACCTCAAAAACCCATAAGTGGCGAGTAATTAGCATTGCAAAAGTAATTAAAATATTCTAAAAATAATTTGAACATTTTCTAAAAGCCATTTGAACAAGTTATAATCAAGATATCAAATTTTGGTTAACAGATCCTTAAGCAGCACATTCAGGAGTACCTATACTGAAATTTTGAACAAAATCCATTTTTTGGCCGAAAATGACAAAAATTGTAAGTCTATAGCCTTAAAGGATTTTTGG